GAGGAGAGAGAGAGAGAGAGAGAGAGAGAGAGAGAGAGAGAGAGAAAGAGAGAGAGAATCATGTCAGTTTCAATAATAGTGTGGCCAGAATCTAAGAATGAATAAGGCAAACATACATTGCTCCAATCCCTGTCTATAAATAGAGAATCATGTGTCTTAGTCAGGATTACTATTGCTGTGGTGAAACACTGTGACCAATGCAATTTGGGGAGGAAAAGGTATATTTTGCTAACTCTTCCACATCACAGTTCATTCTTCATGAAAGGAAGTCAAGACATGAACTCAAACAGGGCAAGAACCTGGAGGCAGGAGCTGATGCAGACAGAGGCCATGGAGGAGCTCTGCTTACTGGCTTGCTCCCCTAACTTGCTCAGCCTGCTTTCTCAAAAACCCAGTACCATCTGCCCAGGGATGGCACCACCTACCACAGACTGTACCCTCCCATCAGTCACCAATTAAGAAAATACCTTACAGTCTTGCCTTCACCCCTATCTTGTTTTTTGTTTGTTTGTTTGTTTTTTTGTTTGTTTTTTCGAGACAGGATTTCTCTGTGTAGCTTTGGAGCCTATCCTGGCTCTTGCTCTGGAAACCAGGCTGGCCTCGAACTCACAGAGATCCCCCTGCCTCTGCCTCCCGAGTGCTGGGATTAAAGGCGTGCTCCACCAACGCCTGGCCACCCCTATCTTATGGAGACATTTTCTTAATTGAGACTCTCTCCTCTCAGATAACTACAACTTGTGTCAAGTTAACATAAAACTAGCCAACACATCCATGTAACCAAAATTGTCAGTTTTTAATGCCAAAATTCACCAGGGAGATGTTCATTCATAGATTCTTTTTGAATTTATTTATGGGGTGATTGGCATATGCACTGATACTTCAATATTAATTTTGGAAGAACTTAAAGTAAAATACACCAAATTCTAGCTAAAGAAGGGACATGAACCATTGACTGGGGGGAGATTTCAGGAAGAGTTTCCTGGAGCAAACCCTCTGCCACATGTTCTATCACAACATGGGAATATGAAAAAAGGATAACATGAGTCTGGCCTCCTGTCTGGATCCAGACATTGTTGCCTTCATAGCATCTCCCCCAACCAGAGTTGTCAACGATGGTACTTTCTGTTTCTGAGCCACACCGCGATCTCTAATCCAGGGCTACAAAGTGTTCACAGTTGGGCTTTGTGACGTCAAATCTTGCTGGCCTATCAGGACTCAGGGGTGTGGCCTTCCATTGTTCTGGGTGGCTTCATAAGAAAGTGCCTCTGCGCTCTGAGCCAGAACAACTCAGGCTTCAGAATGGCAAAGGCAACCAAGAAATCACAGGATCCGTCCACAGACATCAAGCCAACAACCTCAAGTGCCAAGTCAAAGAAAGCCAAGATTCGTCGAGAGCCTAAAGCCGGAATTTGTAGCAAGGTGGATGGTGCCTCTACTTCCAGAAACAGTGGAAAGGTAAGAAAGCCCAAGGGAAGCATACTCCTTCCCTGGTGATTTCCCCTCCTCTAGCACTCCTAACCCTTTCTTGAGCTGACATTAACTCTTTCCTCAGCCCATAGCCCTTCTCCTTCAGTCCCCTTATGTACTCCATAGTTTTGAAGACCGATATGCCCTTATCACTTTACTCTTGTTGTCCTTCCAGGTTCAAAAGACTTACAAGAAGGACAAGAAAACCCCACCGCGGAACACAAAAAGAAAGGCTTCTGAGAACATTAAACTCCCTACAAAGAAGACCAAAAGGGCCAATGAGAAAGCACTATTTGGGCACTACCACCGCCTAATGGAAGAAATGACTAGTACAGAGACTGAACCAGACCAAAGCAGCATAGGGAGTTCCAGTGCCTCAATGAGTGACCTGGAAAGCCAATAACTTCAGAATGCCATCAGAGACCTAGCAACCTGTCCGAAGGTCTGGCAGCTGAACAGACTGTGTAGAGTGAATTTTTACTACACAGTACTTCAATGTTAACGAAAATAAAAAAAATGTGATATGAAAACAATGTACCAATGATAATTTCTAATGATGAAGCATGGGAGGAAGGAGAAAGGAAGAGGGATGGGAGGGAAGAAGGGGTGGGGAAGGAGGAGGGATGGGAAGAGGAGGATGGGGAAGGAGGAGGGATGGGAAGAGGAGGGATGGGAAGAGGAGGATGGGGAAGGAGGAGGGATGGGAAGAGGAGGGATGGGAAGAGGAGGATGGGGAAGGAGGAGGGATGGGAAGAGGAGGGATGGGAAGAGGAGGATGGGGAAGGAGGAGGGATGGGAAGAGGAGGGATGGGAAGAGGAGGATGGGGAAGGAGGAGGGATGGGAAGAGGAGGGATGGGAAGAGGAGGATGGGGAAGGAGGAGGGATGGGAAGAGGAGGAGGGATGGGGAAGGAGGAGGGATGGGAAGAAGAGGAGG